CCAAGACATCTGGAATCAGAGATCATAGAATCATAGAATCATTTAGGTTGGAAAAGACCTTTAAGATCATCCAGTCCAACCATTAACCTACACTACCAAATCCACACTAAACCAATCAAGGGTAGACTAGACTAAACCATGTCCTGAAGTGCCACATCTACCCGTTTTTTGAACACTTCCAGGGATGGTGACTCTACCACCTCTCTGGGCAGCCTGTTCCAATTCTTGACCACCCTTTCCGTAAAGAAATTTTTCCTAATATCCAACCTAAACCTCCCCTGGCGCAGCTTAAGCCCATTTCTTGGCTTTCCATGATCAAGAAGGGAATAATCAAATTCTGTTAATAGTTGGAACAGGAAAGGGAGGACAATGAACAGCTTGTTTTTGAAAGACAAAACTCTCATCTTGGTATGGAAAGAAGTAACTTTTCTTTTAAGAAGTGGATGCTCAGCTGAACTGAGAAACATTTCAGTTTACCAATAAATGTATACTGTCAACATGAACATGGTGAAATAATAGTAATTGTTGTTTGTACAGCATCAGCTCTAATCAGCCTTAGAAAGAAACTCAGCCCTCTAATAGACAGATCCCTAAAGCTTGAAGCTTTAATACTCAGCAACAGAGACACTTCCAAACCACATGCTGGATGACATGAGACCTTTTAGAAAAGTGCCAGTGAATATTTAGGCATTAAAACAATGTATCTGTTTAGAATTTATGTGTTTTAAAATTAGTTGCATACCATGACTGCCTTTCTCTTAGAGTTTTAGGGCTTGGTTTTGGTATATTTTTTAAAGATCTAGTTGTTGAGGAGCCCTATAAAGCAAGGTGAGTTTACTATTTCACTTGTCAAATAAGAGACTAAAGCTCAGGTGATCAAAGTAGTCTACATAATGTATGAGTAGCTATTCAGATAGGAAATTCGGAGTAGAAGTGATTTTTCTTGGATTATACAGTGGTTGGTTGGTTGATCCAGAAACAGGTAGTGTCAGTGATTCCAAGAGTACTCTTGATCTGTTCCTAAACCCCTAGCTTCTTGTATGCATTTAGAGTAAAGGACTTGAAAACTGGAAGGCTTTAGAAAAACTCCAGTCCCATGCACTTCTAGCCCTCCAGGAGAATGCTTGACAGAGTTTCTGGAGGAATTAAAATTGCAGATCAGACAGGGAAAGGTTTTGCTTAGGTGTTTGTTTACTGAGGACCTACAAGATTACAGTCTTTTGAATATTTGGTTCCAGATCCATGGCTTTTGAGCACATGATTTGAAGAAGAGAGTCTGTAAAGTTCAAAGCATGGATCCATCCAGCCCAATAGAGGATGTCCATGGGAGAAGAGTGTAAGAAAAGGGGAAGGTGCTATTTCCCAGCTTCCAGCAATCCACGTGGTAGAGATTGTCTCTGAGGTTTCAGAACATCCTTTTATCTGGGGGATTCTGGCAAGAATGAGGATCTCACAAATGGCATTCCCACTGTTTTATCTTCATGGTGACTCCCTGTTCTGCTCATTTCAGTTTTCTACTGCTTCAGGCTGCATTGAGAATTTGTGCCTACAAATTTTCGTGGTGAAGAAAAGAGCAGTTGGAAGGTTTAGGCTGAAGATACATTCTTCTGTTCTCCTTTGAAGTGAAAATAAGGGATCTAAAACTTTATGCCCATTTTGCCTTTCATTTACACCTGCTGTTCCTTTAAATACTGTATAAATTGTCTTTGGACAGGCATGTTTTAAAAACTCTTTATGTCACAGTAGCCGTCACATCCAGACCCAAAATTTTTGAATAAAAATCAGTGCTCGTTTTAGTATTCGTGTTGTAACTTGAGCTAGTTGATTACCGGTTAACTAACAGTATATATTTTTGCTGCAGAGACCACAAACATTTGTAACTGTCCCAAGGCACAGCAACAGGTGTCAATAAACTATAAAAAATGTATAGTAATTTAATTGCCTTCTGAGAAACCAACAGCAGCAAAACAGAGGAAAAAAACCCACAACTGAAGCTTGTTAACACAAAGAAATTGGTCTTATTTACTCATGTGGACATGTGCCACTGGGATGGTGATAAAGTTTCAGTTTTGCATAGTCCATGCCTCCTGCAGACAACTGGGCTGCAGGACACTGAGGGCTTCATTTTGAAGCTGCAGCTCCTTGTTCATGAGCTGAGAAGCTTTACAGTAAAGCAAGCGATGATGTAAATATTCAAGATGAAAAAATTGTCGCATGGAATGTAGCCTTCAGCTAAAATGAAGGATTTCCTTGTTATCTCTCCTGTCATCTGCCCAAGCTTATCCTAGCATGTCTCCTATTATGGGGGGGCTCAGCTGTTAATGCATGCAAAACTTCTTTTCATTCCATTTGAAATATGTCTTAGTGGTTCATTTAAATACAATTTAAAAATCTTTCCATTCTCAGAGTAAATGCTGGTGACAATGACACCTTCCTTGATTTTTTGAGCAGGTTTTTCTTTATGTGAGTTTTTACAGGGCTAATTTACAAAAGTTAAGTTTGTTGTATCAGAATCTTGTTTTGTTGGTATTGCAATTTCCCCTGACATTTTTTATCATCAGACTGGGTTTTGTAAATACGGAGGAAACAGAGTCAGGCTCTGACAATGTCATTGACTGCCAGTGAGCTTTCTGAATCTAAAATCTAAATCTTTTATAAAACCTTTCTAAGGCAGACTGATTCTATATAGCATAACCGGGAGCATTAAGCTAATGATTTCTGTCATTGGAAGTAGTTCAGAATGTGTAGGCCAAAATAGAGAAATAGATAAAAAAGCCCAGTTCTTTCCACCAACTGCAGTCTGTATTCACTGCTTAGCCAAAGCTGTCCTAAAGGTCTAGAAAAATTCCTCCAACTGGTGGGGATCCTCAGACATACACCAGTACCATTGTAGTGCACCAAACCCAGTTTAGTGGGGGTGTAGTATAGGACAACAAAACTGGATTTCTCTTTTGGCAAAGAGTTCTGTGTCAGGCAGCTGCAGAGGTCCTGCAAAAAATTGTAGCCACCTTTGAAAGCTATTTCATCTCTTGCTTTATCCTGCAGTCAAACCCACAAAAGCTCACCTGAAATAGCAACAGCTAATGAACTGTACCTGCCTTTCATCATCTTGGGGATGTATAGCTATGGAGGCTACACGTGCAGTTAGAGGTCTTGTTAAAGCACTCTTCTTTCAGAGAATTCAAAGTCCCCATTTTTTCTAACAGTTTGGCTTTTGGAGTCTTAGATTTTCAAATTGAGCAACTCCTTTTCAGTCTTACTACATGTTACATATTCTGATAATGTAAACTGTCACTGCTAAATTTCTGGCCTTGGACTACTAAATAGACATTTACAAAGTTTTCCAGTGATAACTAATTTTCACTCTTCTTCCAGCAATGAGAAAAAAAACTGTCCAGTGTCAGAGTCATATTTTACCTTCACTGAGGTACACAAAAACCTAAGTTATCTGCACCCCTGAATTTGTTCCCAGTCTCCAGGCTATGCTGTTGGTCTGAAGTGGAAGTGTACATGCATTCCTCTCCTGCTCTTGGGGAAGGAATTGCTCTCTGAACCTGTCAAGATGAGTATCAATTCAGTACTGCTTGGTCTACAACTGGTACCATAAGTTTCTCTGTCAAAGTACTCACACCTGTTGGAGTACAGCTCCACATGGGAGTTGCACAGTGCAACTCCAGTACAACTCCTGATTGGCAGATGGCAACAAGCCTCCTCATCTCCTAATGTGGTCATGTTTAAATAGTTCCCTAGTGGCTCCAGTGTAAAGGTGGAGTAAGACATGGTAAGACAGTGAGCACTCTGGCCCTGATCCTGGCACTTGGAGCTGTACTGGACAGAATTACAGAATCACAGAATAATTTAGGCTGGAAGAGACCTTTTGAGATCACCTTATCCAACCTCCCTGCTCAAAGCAGTGCTATATAGAGTGTGGTCAGATGGTATTTCATGTCTTTTAATTTGTGCCCATTGCCTCTTGTCCTGTCAGTGAGCACCACAGAGAAGAGTCTGCCCCCTCATCTTCATTTCCTTCCATCAGTTATTTATGCACATAGATAAGATCCCTTGAGTCTTCTCCTCTCCAGAGTGAAGAGTCCCACCTCTCAGCCTCTCCTCATATGAGAGATGTTCCAGTCCCTTCATCATCTTTGTGGCCCTGCGTTGGACTCAGTTCAGTTAAGTCCATGCCTGTCTTCTACTAGGAAGCCCAGACCTGGACCCAGTGCTCCAGGTGTGGCCTCACCAGGGCTGAATAGAGGGAAGGATCATCTCTTTTGACCTGCTGCCAATAATCTTCCCAATGCAGCCCAAGATACTGTTGGCCTTTTTTGCTGTATGGGTGTATTGCTGGCTCATGGTCAGCTTGTTCTGCCAGAACCCAAAGGTCCTTCTCAGCAAAGCTGCTTTCCAGCCACTCAGCCCCCAGAGTGTGCTGGTGCTTGGGTTGTTCCTCCCTGGGGGCAGGACTGCGTATTTACCCTTGTTGAACTTAATGAGATTCCTCTCTGCCTATTTTTCCAGCCTGTAGAGGTTTCTCTGAACAGCGCACACCCATCTGGTGTATCAGCCACTCCTCCCAGCTTTGTATCATCTGCAAACTTCCTGAGGGTGCACTCAGACCCAGCATCCAGATCATTAAAGAAAACACTGAACAGTATTGGCCCCTGTACCCTGAGGTACACAGCTAGTGACTTGTCACCAAGTGGACTTCGTGCCACTGGTAAGAACCCTCTGGGCCCAGTAGTTCATCCCGTTTTCAATCTACATTATTGTCTACTTATCTAACCTGTACTTTGTCAGCTTGTCTATGATGACGTTACGGGATACAGTGGCTTCACCAGAGTCAAGGTAAAGAACATCAGCTGCTCTCCCCATTAGCTGCCTAGCTAGTGACCGCATTGTAAAGGTCATCAGGTTGGACAAGTGAGATTTCCCCATGTAAATCCATGCTGACTACTCCTAATCAGCTTCTTGTCCTTCATGTATTTGGAAATGCCCTCCAGGAGGCTTTTCTCCCAACACCTTCCCAGGGACTGTGGTGAGGCTGACTCGCCTGGAGTTCCCCACATCTTCCCACTTGCCCGTCTTGAAGATAGGAGTGATGTTTGCTTTCTTCCAGTTTCCAAGAACATCCCCAAATCACCATGACCTTTCAAAGGTAATCAGGAGTGGCCTTGCAGTGACAGACAGTTGCCGTGGCACTTGTGGGTGCATCCCCTACATGGACTTACGCATGTCCAGTTTGTTTAACTTTTTCCTAACCTAGCCCTCCTCCACTGAGGGTAGTTCTTTTTTCCATACTTTCCCTCTGCTCTCAGGGGCCTTGGATTTTGAAGGCCAATGTTAGTAGTAAAGGCTGAGTCCAAGAAGGCATTGAATACCTTGTCCTTTTCTGTATCATTTGTCATCAGTTTCCATGCCCCATTCAGCAGCAGACCCACATTTTCCCTATGTCACGAATGCAGGTTTGTGAATCCTGCTGATTATGTCGATTCACTATGAATGAGTGACTTTACACAGTTTGATTTAGTAAAAGTTAGAATTTACTTATAGCGAATTGCAGAATTTGATTATAGTATTTTTAATAGCACTCAATCATCAATGATTAATAAAGTGATTAGACAAAATTGATCAAACAGTGACTTAGTTACAGATTCAAAGATGGCAAGGTTCACTCTATTACTACACAGAAGCACATAAAAGAGAATTAAATCACAACAAGTTAAGATGATTCATAAAAGCATTGTGTATATATGGAATCAAGGCAAAAAAGGGGGGGTGGGGGAAGGGAGACCCTCCCATTGAGTCACAAGGTTCAGACTAGACCCCCTTGCTTTCTAAACTCCTTCTCAGAGAGGAGCCGAGGTGCGGCTGGTCCCACTCTTAGTCTCAGACTTGGTCAACGGTTTATGAGAGTAATGCTGTAAGAATAATACAGCAGTATAAAACTCCCTTTAAAATTAAATCATACATTACAGACTACTTAAATTGATTCACACATGCACACTCACCAATATGAATGCATATATGAGAATAGTATACCTGTTAAAAATTCCCCTCGAGTTTAGTGAAATACTCAGGTCTGATGTCTTGGCATTTCTCAACAGGCGAGAGTAGAGCCTCAAGGAGTGAAGAATGTCAGCAGCCCAGGCTCCATTGTCCGCAATGGAGTTCTGGTGGCAGCAGACTTTCGGAGTCTGCTAGTTTTCACTGACTCTGAGAGACATTTCGATCAGAGGGAGATGCTGATGCTGCCCGTGGTGGTCCAGGAGATCTCAAAGGGCCTCACTTAGGACTGCTGTTTATAGGATTGTGAGATGATTGACTTTAATCACCAGTAAATTTCCATCCGAGCCACAATTTGGGTCGGCTTGTTGCTGGAATTCCAGCAGCGATGATACCACCCTGTTTCAAGGCTGTCCGGGATAGCTGTTTGTTCTCGTTCCCCTCGTTAGCCATAATATGACTCTTGATCAGGACAGGGTGGCTTTATGCTACAGCCATGTAGGAGTTTCTGGTACAATTAAGGGGTGCTTAACTGACCAACTCTCTATGCAAAAGCTGCGGCCTGCGAATTCCTGAGATTGTAAAGTAGACGAAGTAAAGGGGAAAAACAGGACAGAAAAAAAAAACGGGCAGGGGGAAGATGTACCACCACACCCTAGTTTTCCTTTTGCTGTTTATGTACTTGTAAAATCCTTTATTGTTGCTGCTCACATACCTTGCCAGATTCAACTCGAGTTAGGAGCAACTTGCTCATCCATGCAGGCCTTCTGCAATTTGCTTGATTTCCTACTTGTCAGGACAGACCTTTCCTGAGCTCAGAGGAGGTGATCCTTGATTATCAGCTAGCCCTACTGGACCCCTCTTCTCTCCAAGATTGTATCCCATGGGATTCTTCCAAGCAGATCTCTGAAGAGGTTGAAGTATGCTTTCGTGTAAGCCAGGGCTGTGGTCTCATTATCCTACTATGATTTGACTGGTAACAAATTAAACTGATTTTCCCCAAGTTGAGTCTGTTTTGCCCATGACAGTAATTGGTGAGTAACCTCTCCCTGTCCTTATCTCGACCCACAAGGTTTTCCTTATATTTTCTCTCCTCTGTCCGGTTGAGAAGGGGATGATAGAGCAGCTTTGGTGGGCACTTGGCATCCAGCCAGGGTCAACCCACCACATGCCATCACAGTAGTGTGGCTGATTACAAAAAGTATAGGATATTAAAGATCAGGCTTGCTAGTTACAGATTAATTTGACTTTTTTTTTTTCCTTCAGTAATTATAATGAAAATTCATATAAAACCGTATTTTGATTTTCATAATATTTTCTTCTTGAATAAAATGCCAGTGAACAATATCTTTCTCTTGTTTATATTTTGTCTCTGTTTGGCTGCTATGTGTCCCCAGCATTTTCCTCTATAATGCCTACATTCATCTGGTCTAGATTTAATCACCCAGATAGGAATTCAAAGCTGTGAACTTCCACCACCAATCCCATTCCCCTGGGACTGAAGTTTTGACTTATAACCTATTTGTCAGAATATGATCCCAAAAAGGCAAGTAGTTTGTGTTCCCATGTGAACTTCCAATACCCTTTGCTGAGCAAAATGGACACTGCTTTCTCTTTTTAAACTTTCTATTGTTAATTCCTAGTGACTGAGACAGACAAAGAAATACGCGTGAGGACTCGCAGCTGCAGACTCCAACCACTAATTCAACCAGCCAGTCTCTGCTGGCTTTGGCAGATGGTTCTTTCTTAGCACGGCATCTTTAATGGCCCACTTCCCCGTGTTGGCCAGGGACAAGCTGTAAAATCATCTAATGGCACTTAAAGATACCTATTAAACTTTCCATCTGTGTACCACATTTGAACTCCACACACTGCCTTGTTACTAACATGGTTTTCCCAAGAGAGACAGCCACAAAGCTTCCAATTTGTATTTCAGTTGGTTTTGAACATCATCTGTATTTTGAGTTGTTTGCAAAGCTCTCTGAATGCTTACATTTAGCTTTGATGGTCTCAAAGGAAAAAGAGCTTGGAGTAGCTTTTAAAATCTCAGAAATTATTAATGATTTGAGCATGTCGGTGTGTGAATGACAGAAATCAGAGATTCTTTGAAGAAACCTTGACTTCTGGATGCTCGGAATGTGTAAGAGGCAGCACATGATTCAGGGCAATGGACAATCTCTGAATCTAAGGCCATACTCAGCATTAGCTTCCAGCAGTGTGGTGAAACTTCACTGCCTGAAAGAATGCAGTAAAGAGCAGTAGGAAAGTTGTGAGTTTTCTGTGAGCTGGGAAGTGGGAGGAGCTGTTTACAAAAGTCTTACACACCGAGGGCAACAGATTAGTGATGCTGTACACCTATGTACTAAGTTGAAATAGCAGAAAATTGTTAAACTACCATGGTTGACTGACTATGAATAACTGCCTAAGAAAGTCAAGTGGGCCAAGGGATTCTTAGTGGGTGAGCTAACACAGTAAGAAGTAACAAGCCAGAAATAGCTGAAGTAGATTGTACTCCAGCTTCAGTGGCGACTGAAATTGGACATTTCTTCCCAGAAAGATCTAATGATTCCTGTTAATGAGACGTTACTGCAGGGAATGGGACAATTAACTTTCCTATTGTTGCTTTACTTTAGGAATTAGGTATTCAGTGTTACTCTGTTGATCTACCTTGCTGGTGTTTTGTTTTGTCTCTTGAATCAATTGACCCAAACATGATATTTATTAATGAAATCCATCTCCTTGATTACCTTTTGTGTCTGTATTCATGTCTCCTCACACCCTGGATTTTCTTCATGTGAGCCTTTCCTAGCCGTACGACTACATTTTGACAATGGTCTGGATAACTGGCCATGGTATCATGGGTATGGCTGTGGCTAACCAAAAGGGTTTCAAAAAACTATATCTATTTTCTGTAGAGTCATCATCATAGAGTCATTTTCTTCTGTGCATTAGTTTATCTTTCTCTAGAAAATTTGTTTCAGGGTGACTTGATTTGCTTTGACTCACTTTTGGAGCCTTGTCCCATAAACTGTCTCAGTTTACCTCCTAATATGTAGAGGGGTTTTCTGTTTTCTGTTAAGAACCAACACAATTGAAGAACACTGTATATGAAGGGTTTTCTCCATCTGGTCCTTGTTCTTTATCCATTTTTGATGAATCCCCTTGAAAAAGCAGTCACTTGATTGTGACACGACTATGATATTCACATACTAAAAGCTACTTTGCAATGTTGAGACTGCAGGTGATAAATGCATAAAATATTGTCTAGAAAAGGAAGCAAAGGGTAGGAGTAAATAGTCAAATTCTTCCACTGTAGAACTGAAGGAAGTCAATGGTAGAGTTCTGCAGCCTGACATGCTGGTACTTCGATTGCTTAACACAGTCATAGATAAGCAGGAAAAAAGCTGAGCAACAAGGTGATACCTTTGCTGATGTTATGGAGTTATTCAAGGTAGCAGGACGGGGACTGACTTTGAACGATTGCAGAGGGCAATACTGTCAGACAGTAACTGAGCATTAAAAATGCAGGTATAATTCAGTGTAAAAAAGTAAGAAGTGATGCATGTGGGAAAACAGTCCTGATTTCTGTGTAAAATTATCATCTCTGAGGTGACTGTAACCATGCAGATTAAGAAAGACAGTTCAGTGCCAACCAAATGTTAAGAATTACTAGGAAATAAATTGTGAGCAAAACAAAAAGCATAATTGTACAATTGTGTAAATCCCTGTTTCTCCCACACCATTCTGCAGTTCTCTCATCATAGAGAAGGTAATGTTAAAACTGGAAAAGTTTGAGAGAGGTCAATGAGGATGAGCAAAGGTATATAGAAATGCCTCTGAATTAGGAACAGAGGAGTTGACTTAGACATGTCTCCATAGAAGAGGTGCCAGCTAATGAGCAGGGTATGGGACGAGCATTGCAGGCAGGGTTTGCCTGTTTACTGCCTCTTCCAACCCAAGAACTCTCCAGGGAGAGTGAGGCATGCAAGAAACAGTGCCTGGCAGACTGCGGAGCACCTTGCCGAAGGAAGCTGTAAGTGGAAGAATGACAGGCGGATTTAGGGGTAGCTGGAGAGGCAGTCTGAAGATCCATTGCAGGCTACTGAATAGACAACCTCTAGTAGGCTCAGCAAATTGCTTGAGCAGAAAGTGATCAAAGCCAAGGAGGGCATTAGGAGAAAGCATTATATATAGAATACTGGCCTGAACCAGAACAGTTGTTTTCATGTTACTTATGAAGTAAATTGCTTATTCCTCATTAAGTCCTTTGGATGTAATGTATTTGTTTCTACATCTAATTCATCCTGGACAAGCAGGTAGAAACAAATGGAAGCAACATAGCCCAAGCTGCTGCTGTTCTGAGTTGTCCGTTGTGCCCTTCTGATAGACGGTGCCTTCCCTTGTGGCCTGCTTGTGAACCAGTACCCAAACTGCTGCGCTTTTCAGCACATTGCAGCCAACCAGCTCCGATTTAACTTTTAGGAGTATATCAGACATACATATCATAATAACAGCAAAGTATGTGAAGGGAGTAGGGTGTCAGGCAGAAGAGGTAACAGCCAATTGATTTGCTGTGCCCCATGGCCTCTCTGCCCAAGCAGTAAGTTTCAGAGAAGACAGACACATCTGTGGATGGTAAGCTGAAAATCTCCATTATGTTTGACAGTGTAGTAGATCTTTTGAGTTACTAATGTAGTGCTACACTGAGCACTGGGTGCAACAGGCTTTCCCCCCCCACCTCTTATTAGCTTTGTTACTAATATTCTTCTTAGATTTTCAAGGGGGGCTAATAGGAAGATAAGAAATTTTGTAACACTGCAGTGAGAAATGTTTGTTACGCTATGGCATCCCATATAACTTGTAATTGTCACCTCATGTTGTGCCCTGAATTATTTTAAGAAGCTTTACCACTTTACAAAGGTAGGTGTTTAGCAGCCATCACATAGTGTAGCAGCTCCTCTAGTTTTACATGAACAAAGCAACCAACTTGTTTAAGAATATTTTGGACTTCTTGAAGTACACCTTCCTCCTTTGAAGTATTCAATCAGGCAGTATGTTTTGCCACTATAAAGGACCAGCGATAATAATCACAGGATTTTTTTTTTGGCGGGGTGCTTGGACAAGTCCCAGGAATCACAGGGAATTCTGGCCATAGTTTTCCAGGGCTTCCATGCATACTAATTTTGTCGTTGTGGCAGAAAGAACTGTCCTTAGGCATTTTATGCAGCATCCAAAAGGGAGTCTTTGTAAAGCTTTATGCAGAAAGTCTCAATGCAGAATAATTACT